CAACACTCACACCCACACCCACACCCACACCCACACCCACACCCACACCCACACCCACACCCACACCCACACCCACACCCACACCCACACCCACACCCACACCCACACCCCTTTTCAGAACCAGAGTAATGTCGAAGAAAATATCTAAATTCGTTAGTCTATGGGTGCGGGTTGAGGAGTGTTAGTCTGCTTATCACCCACATCAACGCTCACTCGCACATACACCACATCTATACTCAACACTTACACCCACACCCATACCCACACTCATCCACAACCCACACCCACTCAAACCCATACCCACCCACATTCCACACTCACACCCATATCCACACCTGCCCACACCTCAACTTTGAAAAATATTTGAAAATTATATGAAAATAATTTCTATGATTGCTTTACTGTAGAAGTAGATCTACCATCCTTTTCTAGAAAAGTAGTTCGATGAAAATAGCAAACATATTCTATTGAGTCGCAAAAAACAATAGTGTTGTTATTCGAAGGCCAACTTTGACAGCATTCAGTTTTGCGATGAACAACGCAGCAGAAAATATGATTCAAATTAACTCTTTGTCTTTTATTAAGTTTTGTCCATTAAAAATGCTAAGCAATTGAATTTTCTCTTAAATTATTTCTGTTTACTGTTTTTGCCGATCCCATGTTAACGTACGGACAAATGACATTTTCAAGTATGATGCGATTGTTTTTCGAGCAAACAAAAGTGCAATAAAAACAAAACAAAGTGGGTAGTTGGCTCTTCATGCTGCAAACGAATGTATGCAGCCAGTTTTTAGTTTTCCATTTTGTTGGTAATACCATCTCGGAGACTGTGGATACTGATTGTGAGTATTTTAAGTAACATGATATATTTGCTTTTATTTTTTGGGCAATTGTCCAACATTTTCTTAATATCATAAACCATAAAATGTTTTCGTGTGGATTATGGAGTGTTAGTCTGCTTATTACTCACATGAACATCCACCATCACATACATCACACTTACACTCCACACCTACACCTACACCCACACCCGAACCTCCCCCCTCTCCCTCCCCCCACACCCCCACTCACATCCACACCCGCACATCTCACACCCCCACACCCACATCCTAGTTCAAACTGAAGATATAAACGATGTACTCATCTTAATCATATTCTCCCATGAGCCAACCAATTTAATCAAAAATCTTAACAGCGATGAGGAGATAGAATGCAATAAAAATCATATTTTTATGTTTCACTTTTATTCCAGCAAAGTCTTAATTAAAAATTTGACGTGAGAAAGTAAAACATCTTAGATTACTATATTTTTTTCTATCGAAATGCTCTTCTATCGACCACTTTATGTCCGTCTTGATCGTAAACATTTTCATATAATGATGATGCTGATTTGATAAAGCCGTTGCTAAATTCATCTTTATGAGCTGCTAACCAGTCAGCACCCGCTCGAATGTGTGATGCCTCATGTGAATTTAAAACAACTGGTTTATCATAATATCTTGATTGTAAAACTTGATTGACTGATGAACGATCGTGACCAAAGTTGGATGCAGCACTGCCATAGTAATGAAAATTGTCTCTCGATGAAAGGTTTCGAGCATACTGATCGACTGTGGAGTCTGAATAAGTTGGCCCACGAGAATAAGCTGCAGCAGCGGCTGCTAATTCACAATCAAATTTATGGCGACGAACTTCACCGGTGAAGGCAACTGAACTAGGTATATAACTACGAAAATCTGATGCAAAGTACGTTTTCCCATATGGATCGTCACTGAAAGATGGTCTCCAAGCCATTTTGTTGTGTTTTACGTGTGTAAGAATTGCAATTTGAATTCTAGTAAGAAAACAAACAATACAACTGTTCTTTGCGCCGTGACGAATGCTAGAATGTGACCCCTTTATATATTCGAATGCATGTGGCAACATTGTTGTGTAATCAAACAAAAATTCATTGCATTTAAAGCGACACTGGGTTTTTGTGCTGGGAATTCTTCAGTGTGAAAATAAATTGTCATTGGATATTTTTTTTCGCATGATCCTACCTTAAAAACAAACACTGTGGGCTGTGAGTGTGATTATCGATCAAACAACAGTGGAATCACAGTTGGGTGTGGGTGTCGGATGGGAGTGAGTGTGGGTTTGAGTGAGTCTTTGCCGTCTCTTCATCAACACCCACACTGACACCCACACCCACATCAATGCATCCACATTTATACCATTTTCTTCAGATTTAAGGAAAGTGTTTGATCGAGAAATTGTACTTCAGATGGCGTGTAAATCATATTCTTACAGCTTTCTGTTCATTTGAGATTTTTTCTTTCTCTGCTTAGTGGTGCATCGATTGAGGGTGTGGGTGTGGCTAGAGTGTGGGTGGGTGTGTGTGTGGATGTGCGTGTAGTGTGTGGGTATGAGTGTGTGGGTGTGAATGTGGGTGCGGATGCGAGTGTGGGTGTGCGTGTGGGTATCGGTGTGGTGAAAGTATCATTATGGGTGTGAGGAGAATGTGGTTATGGGTGTAGGGTGTGGGTGTGCGTGTGGGTATGGGTGTGGGTGTGGTGAAGGTATCATTATGGGTATGGGGAGAATGTGGGTATGGGTGTAGGGTGTGGGTGAGGGTGTTCTTGTCTGCTAGATCCACATGCACACGAACACCCCACACCCACACCTACACACCCCGTCCCAAACCTACCCACCCACATCCTCAATAAATATGTTCAAACTTTCGTTTATATTAATTTATCAACGAGAAACTATCTTCATTCGATTCATTTATCAAAATGAGATTTATTTTCTCAGTAGTATTTTCGGCATCAATGAAGAATTCGAAGAACTTTTTGAAAAACAAAACATTTGAGAACGGGGTGTGGGTGTGTGGGTGTGTGGGTGTGTGGGTGTGTGGGTGTGGGTGTGGGTGTGTGTGGGTGTGGGTGGGTGTGGGTGTGGGTGTGGGTGTGGGTGTGGG